TAGGAATTTATGTCTGAGTTATGCAGGGTTTATGTAATTTTAATTCAATTTTACGAGGAAGGGAAAAAGGCGGAAAATGAAGTACCAAAGTATTTTAAAAGTTTAATGGAATGTGAGAAGGAATCAAAGCAAAAACTTACACGAAGTACACAAGCTCCATTCTTGGGTTTTTTTGACTGACTGCTCAACAGAATGCGCCATGTTTACTGAAAACTTCAAATTCACAGCACAGTGTGGATTCGCATAGCAAACGGAGAATGAACATACATGCTTACACGCACACATGCAATATGTAGAAACATACACAGAAATAAACAAGGAGGCAAATTGCATAAATATATTTAGCCGTTGCGTACTTTTGATTAATACAGAAACGCAAAAAAGTGTGACTGCAATTTAGATAGCAAGACATTGCAACGGAAAAGATGCTCATCTGATGGGACATTCGCTGGGAGGAATATTAGCTCGCGAAGTCGCTCAACTGCTTGCTGAGGATGAAGGCAAGGAAGTACCATTCGTGATAATGCTTGACTCGTGGTCTCTTGGTACCAGCAGTATACAAATCGAGACCGTCAAACAGTATCTCCAGGTTCTGCATTTTACAGCTTCCTAAGCTTCACCGGTTCCCGAGATAATAATTTCTCCGTCGAAACTTTTACAAGGGCGTATATGATTCCTAGGCCGTTATAGTATTCTTGATAGGCTGAATTTAAATTCATCGGGGCGTACAGTGAGCAGGAGAAGTTATCCCAAAATTTCAACTTTCTGGCTTTCGTGGTCCCTAAGATGATAATTTTCCCCGCTGAAATTTTCACAGAGCCGTATTGAATTTGAATTTGAGGAGTCGTATGTGGGCAAAAATATTTTACTAAAATTTCAACCCCCCAGCCTTTGTGGTCCCTGAATTGAAAGTGCAAGGCAAAATTTCCTCGGTCACACACACATACACACACATACAACAAACACAAACACAGACAGACAGCGGTGTTGCACAGTGCAAAACGCATAAAAAGTGGTTACACAACTCAGAATCAAGAGTTTTGTCACAGCTGCGTCCGGCATGTAGGAACATCTTGGTAAGACCAGTAAAATAAGTTACTTTCAGCGAATGTGCAGGCTGTTATAGTATTCTTGATATGCAATCAAATTCCATAAGGATTTGATGAAGAGCACCAGAAAAAAACTTCAAACGTGCAAATGTCTCCTTTTAGCGAACAAAGGATGAGTGAATGATATAAACAAGAAAGTGGCATTCAGTTTTCAGGATAAACTGAAAGGATTATTGGATATGGATGAATATGTTGCAAGATCGATTCAGCTAACGAAAATGTTACAGAAGCATCAGTTCGTCAAGAATGCTATCAAAATTTACCTCTTGAAAGCAAAAGATCTTGGGAACTCTCCAATAAGGGCAACTGTGAGGTAAGAAAACGTTCTCCCCACTAGTATACTTATTTGCGTGATATTTACGACGGCTATTAGTTAATCACTGATATATCAGTGGTATAGTTGACAGCCATGAGTTATACCAGTGTTTAATCCTTCCTCTCCTCTCCTCCTCTCTACCCTCCGCACAGGCCTAACCCGAAACTTCTGCCTTACTTTACTTTCATTTTTATGCGTTTTTGCATATATGCAAATTGCAAAAACGCATATTGGGAAGAGGCTGTCTG